ATGTTTTTAAATGACTGATTAAAGACTCACTGCAGTCTTCTCCAGTTAGCCTGAAGAGATATGTGCCAGATTCAAGTTTCATTTGAAAGAAGCATTTCCTCCCTATTACTCTGCCTTAGAGGAGCCCTGGTGGCAAAGTGGTCAAGCACTCATATGCTAACTAAAAGGTCAGCAGTTTGGACCCACTAACCACTCCTAGGAGAAAGATATGGCAGGCTGCTTCCATAAAGATTTACAGCCTTGGAAATCCTATGGGGTGGCTCTATTCTGTTCTGTAGGGTCTCTATGAGTCAAAATCCACTCAGTAGCAATGGATTTAGTTTTAGGTGTGCTCTTCCTTAGGATTGGACATAAGCATGCCTATGAAAGTTCAGTAGGTTAGACTATAAGATAGTATTCACATTCTTCTTTGGATGGTTGTATTTCTCTAAAGGAACTCCTGTTTGGATAGAGGCCTAAGCCATGTTCTTCTTCTTGTTAAGTGCTGTAAAGGGTTTCCAAGGAGCAGCTGGTGGGTTTGAACCATTGACATTGCAGTTAGCAGTCCAGTGCTCATCCTACAATGCCACATAGGACTCCACAAGTCATGTTGTTGTTGTTGTTAAGTGCCTTTAAGTTGGTTCCAACTCATAGTGACCCTATGTAACATTTCCAAGGAGTGACCTGATGGATTTGAACTACCAGCCTCATAGTTAGCAGTTCAGTGCTTATGTTTACTCTGCCTAGGATTGGCTATAACATTTCTATGAAATTGCTGTAGGTCAGACTCTAAGATAGTATTCACATTTTTTGTGTGTGATTGATTTTCTCAAAAGGAACTCTTGTTTTTGTAGAGACCCAAGCCATGTTAATTATTGTTGTTGTCAAATGCCATCAAGCGGGTTCCAACTCATAGCGACCCTTTAGAAGGTTTCTGAGGAGCAGATGGTGGGTTAACCACACTGACCTTGCAGTCTACAGTGTCATACTAGGACTCCACAAGCCATAGTGAGTGTAAATATGAAACCATAAACAGATCATTTCACAAACCTTCAAGAAAGCTAGCATTTTGTGTCAGCCTCTGGGCTTCCAACTACTACAGGCATCCTTTGGAGATACTGTGCAGTCAGTGCCACACCATTTCAATAAAGGAAATTGTAATACATCAACTCACATGACTTTTGGCTTCCCAGTACGTATAAAAGTTATGTTTACACTATTCTGTAGGTTATTAAATGTGCAGTTGTTGCTGTTGTTAATTGCTGTCAAGTCGGTTCCTACCAATAGCGACCCTGTATAGGGTTTCCAAGGAGCAGCTGGTGAGCTTCAACTGCTGACCTTGAAGTTCAAACCAACTTTGCAGTCCAGCACATTAACCCATAGTACATTATGAAAATATTTGAAATATGTTAAGAATTACAAAAATATGACAGAGACATGAAGTCAGCACATTGCTATTGAAAAAATAGCCCTGATAAACTTGACTTCCTCAATACAGGATTGCCATGACTTTCCATTTGTAAAAAAACTAAAAATCCCAAGAAAGTATAAAGAACAATAAAACCAATAAAAGGAGGTATGCCTCTATTTGGTATAAAGGCAAGTAAAAGGGTGTGAGTCTGTATAACTTTTTTGCATTCAAGTATATTTTGAAGCTTCTTTCTAATTGGCATTCCATGTAAAAATAACCCTCTTCCTCTCTCACCTGTTTCGGTTCAAATATTGTGGTTGATTATTCTGTAATAGTTACTGATAGATTTCTAAAGGCTGTTTAAGTTGGGATGTGAGACAGGACAGATCAGGTGCAAATGATTCAGGTTCTTTGGTAATCACATCAATATGCCAAATCCGGAGGTTACATATATATACCACTGTTCATCTGAAATTAATGAATTATAGTGGTGTGGAGCTGTAGGTTCAGCACTGGACTGTGAACCACAACATCGGCAGTTGAAACCCACCAACTATTCCTTGGAAATCCTACATAGGGTCTCTGTGGGCTAGTACCGACTCGACAACACTTAGCAACAACAACAGTGGTCATGCAGAATACTGAAGAAAATAAAGTATGCATAAAAACCATTTGGAAAAATTTCCTTCTTAAATACAAGAATTTTACATGATGTAGACAAAAGTCTAGTAGTGAATTGTGGACTGACTTTCAAATTCCTTCCAAAACAAGGTTTTTTTTGAAAAACTGTTGTCGTTAGTTGCTGACAAGTCAGTTCTGACTCACAACAGTCCCATGTACAATGGAACAAAACACTGCTCGGTCATAATCATTGTTTGAGTCCATTGTTGCAGCCACTGCCTCAGTCTTTCTCCTTGGGAAGGGTCTTCCTCTTTTTCATTGATCCTCTACTTTACCAAGGATGATGTCTTTCTTCAGGGAGTTGCCTCTTCTGATAACCTGTCCAAAGTATGTGAGACTAAGTCCAGCTATACTAGCATTTAAGGAACATTCTTTTTTAAAAATAACAACTTACATATTGTCTGCAAGCATTGGACAGTAATATCGTTACTTCAAATTTCCTTTTAAAATGGATAATGAACATTAAGCCAATAATACTGAATGAAAAAAACAAATTTCCACATAAAGCAACTCATTCTGTTTAGTTCTGATAAATGTCTTAACTGCTTGTCTACTCTAACCACATTTGGTACTCTGTTCCTGTTTTCCAGGTGCCCAACCCCAGGCTGTGATGGATCAGGCCATGTGACCGGAAACTACGCTTCCCACAGAAGGTAGGGCTGGTCCCTTTTCTGAGATGCCCACCAGCATGTCAGCAGCAGTAATCAGCCAAATCACATATTTTGTTTTATTTTTTCTTGTTGACTAACTCTTTTAGCTTGTCTGGCTGCCCTCGTGCCAGGAAAGGTGGTGTCAAAATGACCCCTACTAAGGATGAAAAAGAAGACCTTGAACTTAAGTAAGTACAATAGGGAAGGAAGGTTATGGCATATTAAGGCCAACTGTGCCTTATTGGTTAAAAAGGGGGTGAGGGTACAGGACTAGGCTGGGAGGCAATGGGCATTTACTGAATTTTAGGGAGGTCTCAACCTATGAAACACAGGTACCCATGAAGTAAGAGTCAACATGTTTGGATATTCCATGAATATTTCCCATTCCTAGCTATATCTATAGATCTATAGATATATCCACAGTTCATTGATAATGCAAAGGAAAAATCAAAAATTTCCAGTAGTTTAAAATGAAGTAGTATAGAATAACAAATGACAGTATATTCCTCTGAAGCTTTAATTTTGCTGAAGGTGAAATTTTATCTAAAACAAATTACCTCCATAGAGAAATAGGCTATTAAATCTTGATCAGCATTATGCAGATATTAATGTGTAAATCAAAACCACTTGTTCTACAACAGCTCTAAGTACAATATTTATACATTTAGAAACCAGAATTCCAGTCCTATGAGTGATGTGCTCTGTAATTTTGGGCTAGGCAATAATGTTTAACACTGTTGGCCTTTCTCTGAATGCAAAATAGCCTAGTGCTTAAGTGATCAGCTCCAGACCCATCAAGTCTGAGCACAAACTTGGCCCTATTTTTGTAAAATAATAGCAAATTACTTAACTTCAATCAGTCTCATTCCCCATACCTCTAAAATGGGAAAATGCCACTCTCATGTAAATAGGATCATACATGAAAATTCCTTAGCTCAGAGCCTGTGGACCACCAGTGCTGCTTAGTTAGTTGTACTTATACACTTCTAACATGCCATAACTTCACAACTTGCCTCTGGGTGATGTAGAGTTGCCACTGCCTGCTTATTCACTTATTACTGAACTTCATGCTCAAAGGAATGAGAATCATCTAGTCTCTCCTACCAAGCAATGCCTCCACTGTATCTGTCTAGGTGTCCTGTGATAGGCTGTGATAGCCAAGGTCACATCTCAGGTAAATACACCTCCCACCGCACGGCTTCCGGTTGTCCCCTGGCTGCCAAGAGACAGAAGGAGACTCCTCTCAATGGGGCTTCCCTCGCCTGGAAACTCAACAAACAAGAACTGCCCCATTGCCCCCTGCCTGGCTGTAATGGCCTGGGACATGTGAATAATGTTTTTGTCACCCACAGAAGGTAAGACTTGTTTTCTATCTTTTTATTGTTGTTGCCTTGATGGTTCATTAACGGTTTTGTTAATGAGGAAAAACTCAACTCTGTTTAAAGTAAAAGTAAAGAGGTTTATTAAGGCTTGATGCAATTAGAGCAGGAAACTGTATGGGAACAAAAGAAGTGAAACCAAGCAGTTCAAGGCAACATAGCTACAAACACATGATTACAGAGTTAAATCAGGATTTTTTAATATTTTGATTGGAGAACTCACAATCTGAGAATTGAGAGATAGGACATCTCAAAGTGCTTCTTCACAATTAATTGTTGTTGTTACGTGTCGTCGAGTCGGTTCCGACCCATAGCGACCCTGTACAGGGTTCCCAAGGGTGTAAATTTTTACGGGAGTAGAAAGCCTCATCTTTCTCCCGCAGAGCGGCTGGTAGTTTTGAACCGCTGACCTTAAGGTTCGCAGCCCGATTTGTAACCACTACGCTACCAAAAGTTTCTGTGGGCTGTGTGGAGTGGAAGAGGGGAATTTTCAGGGTGGCATTGTAGGACTTTTGTTAAGATTGGTTTACAGAGTCTATGTAGGTTACAGTACCTAAATGCAGAAGTATGTGCTTTTTAGGGGTTTCAGGATCACCGAGACACTCTGGTAGTATACCGGGTTATGTGTTGGGCTGCTAACCACAAGATCAGTAGTTCAAATTCACCAGCCATTCCACAGGAAAAAAATGAGACTTTCTACTCCAATAAGGAGAAAGATGAGGGTTTCTGCTCCACTAAAGATTCACAGCCTCAGAAACCCTATGCAGGGTTGCCGTGAGTCGGAACCAACTCCAAAGCACACCACCACTACCACTCCCATAAAGATTTACAACCTTGGAAACCTTACAACCTTGGAAACCTTATACAGGATCACTGTAAATTGAAACCAACTCAATGGGATGCAGCAGTAGCAGGGTAGTTATCAGGGAGTCACATGTTCCGGGTATCTGCTTGTCCAGGAAATTACTGTTAAGGGTCTGGGATCAAGCCCATCTTCAAGGATACGTAGTTTCCACATCTATGCCAGACCACAAAGAAAAAAGTTTCATGAGCTGTATAATTAAGTTTGTTTAAGGAATTAGGAAATTAACCAAAAGAACTTAAAATGGAGTATGTATCAATGTCAAGACTAAAGATGGAGCTAAGGTTCTAGTTGTAGACCACACCTTTCCACAAATCAAGTACCTCTGAACTTAGGCTCCAGAGACTGGGCCCTCCTAACAATATGTCTGAAGTATGAGAGATGAAGTCTGGTCATCCTGGCTTCTAAGGAGCGTTCTGGCTATACTTCTAGCACAGATTGGTTTGTTCTTTATCAGTTCATGGTACTTTTATTCTCCTTCAACACCATGACTCAAATGCATCAATTCTTCTATGGTCTTCCTTATTCACTGTCCAACTTTCACATGCATTGAAGTTATTGAAAATACCATGGCTCAGGTCAGGTGCACTTTAGTACTATTGAACACTTTTAAAAGGTCTTGTGCAGCAGATTTGCCTTATGCACATTGTCATTTAATGTCTTGACTGATGCTTCTTTAAGTATTGATGACTGATCTGAGCAAAATGAAGTCTTTGACAACTTCAATCATTTCTCCATTTGTGTGGATGCTGTTTATGGGTCCAGTGGTGAGGATTTTTGTTTTCTTTACACTGAGATGCAACCAAAGGCTGTGGTCTTTGATCTTCATCAGTATTTTAAGCCCTCTCCACTTCCAGAAAGTAAGGATGCATCATCTGCTTATTGCATGTTGTTAATTAGTCTTCCTCCAAATTCTGATGCCATGTTTTTCTTCATATAATCTAGCTTCTTGGATTATGTATTCAGCATACAGATTGAGTAAGTATGGCGAAAGATTACAACCTTGGCAAACAGCTTTCCTAATTTTAAACCATTCAGTGTTCCTTGTTCTGTTTGAACAACTGCCCCTATGAGCACAATTAAGTGTTCTGTAATACTCATTCTCTGCAGTGTTGTCCATAACTTGTCATGATCCACACAATTGAAAACCTTTATATAGTTATAAAACACAGGTAAATATATTTCTGGTATTCTCTGATTTCAACCAAGATCCATCTGAGGTCAACAATGTTATCCCTCATTCCACATCCTTGCATGAATCCCCTTGAGCCTGTGACAGTTCTCTGTCAGTGTATGTTTGCAGACATTTTTGGATGATCTTTAGCAAAATTTTACATTCATGAGATATTAATGATATTGTCCAATGATTTCTTCATATGATAGGGTCACCTATCTTTGTTTTTGTTGTTGTTGTTAGGTGTCATCGAGTTGGTACCAACTCATAGCAACCCTATGCACAACAGAATGAAACTGCCCCTCCTGGGCTAATCTTACATTTAGACTATCTCCATCTTTTTGCTATTGTAAATAGTGCTGCTGTGAACATTGGTGTGCATATATCTACTCGTGTTATGGCTCGTATTTCTTGTGGGTAAATACCAAAATACGGTATTTCTATTTTCAACCTTCTGAGGAAGCGCCATATTGCTTTCCATAGAGGTTGGACCATTTTACAGTCCCACTAGCCATGCAGGAGTGTCCCAGTCTCTTCACATCATTGCCAGCATTTATTGTCCTCTACTTTTTTGAGCTTTGCTGTTATTTCTGGTGTGAGACGATATCTTATTGTTTTGATTTGCATCTCTTTAGTGGCTAGTGATTGTAAACATTTCTTCATATATTTGTTAGCTGCCTGGATCTTCTCCTTGGTGAAGTGTCTGTTCATGTCCTTTGTCTATTTCTTAATTGGATTATTTGTCTTATTTTTGTAGATGTGTTATATTTTCCTACATACTTTAGAAATGAGTCCCTTTTCTGAAATGTCATTGCAAAAGATTTTTTCCCAATCTGTGGGTTCCCTTTTTACTCTCCTGGTAAAGTCTTTTAATGCACATAAATTTTTAATTTTTAGTATGTCCCACTCATCCATTTTGTCTACTTTTGTTTGTGTACTTTTCAAAATATGCCACAGTCTGTATATGCCCTGAATTAGCACCCTCACATTTGTCCATATTTTTTCATTGATGATCTTCATAATTTTGGGATTCACATTTAGACCTTTAATCCATGTTGAATTCATTTTTGTATAGGGCGTGAGACAAAGGTCTTGTTTCAGTCTTTTACGTATCACTTTCCAGTTCTGCCAGTACCATTTGTTAAAGAGACTGTCACTTCCCCATGCAGTGTGCCTAGGCACTTTGTCAAAAATCATTTGGCTGTATGTGGATGGGTTAATATCTGGATATTCGATTCTGTTCCGTTGATCAATGTATCTTTCATTGTACCCGTACAAGGCTGTTTTGACCACTGTAGCCATGTAGTAAAGTTTGAAATTGGGTAGTGAGAGATCTCCAACCTTGTTCTTCCTTTTAAGCAGTGTTTTGCTTATCCTGGGTCTCTTTCCTTTCCGTATAAATTTAGTAATTGTCCTTTCCATCTCTTTGAAGAATGTTGTTTGAATCTGGATTACGATTGCATTATATGTGTACATTGCTCTGGGCAGTATTGACATTTTCACGATGTTGAGTCTTCCTATCCAGGAACATGGTATGTTCTTCCAC